AAAAAAAAAAAAAAAAAAAAAAAAAAAAAAAAAAAAAAAAAAAAAAAAAAAAAAAAAGATGCCCACAAAAAGGTAACCAAACAACATAAAGGAACTCCAATCAAGTAAAATAAGATCAAGGGAGAAATAATCAACTTGTTTTTAAAAACAAACCTTGCAATCAAAATGATGAAAATCCTAATGACGGAATTTTCACAGATTAATGAATTTGATGATAATGCTTAAAGAAGAAATGTGTCCACAATTCAAGAAAGAACCAAACCTTTTTCTTCCATGTCCAAGTTTTTTATCTTCCGGCGGTTAAGTATCTTAATAGCAACTTTATGACCAGTTAAAGCATGCTCTGCAATTTTCACTTTCCCAAATGAACCAATGCCAAGGGTTTTCCCAAGCTTATAGTTCGGTAAATTCATATCCATGCCGCTGCCACGACCAGTTGGTCCATCCATTTTACTCTACCCTACAATAATGGTTAAAATAAGAAAATGAGATCAACATTGAAGAAAAAAAATACATCTTCCATGGTAATGAGAATACAATAGCACAAAGTTGCTTGCTAAAGAGAGAAATGGAATGAAATCAGATATCCACTAGCATCATGATGAAACATATAAAAGGGATGCAAGCATCTTTCAAGGGAGTTAAAAAATTCTCAAGTAGATATAAATTAAGGGAAGGTATGAACATATATTCCAAAACAACTAAAATTTACAAGAGTGGGTGATAAGGAAATGGACAAATATAGCCAAGGGTTAAATAAATTAAAAATTAAAAATTAAAAACTGCAGTTACCAAAGAAGAGAAGAAGAAAAATAAGAGAGAGAGAGAGAGAGAGAGAGAGAGAGAGAGAGAGAGAGATTGATCTCCCAAATGTATGGTATCCCAACCACACCTCCCAAAATGATGTTTCCTTTTATTCAAAGAGGGACGGTCAAGAAGAGGTTAATCTAGAGCTGCCATGAATTTTTTGGGGAAGCACCAAACATGATCAAATTTTGCAAAAGAGAGAACCAGAGGACTTGGGCATAAGAACAATGGAGGAAGAGATGATGAAGATTACCCCCTTGTTTCTGACATAGCAGAAAAAGACTGATGAACTAACGTGAGGATTTCTTCCTTGAATCTCGGTTGCTATATTGAGGCCCCCAACAACAAATTCCAGCAGGAGAACTCAACAACAAACCCGATGCACTTGTACAAATTCTGATCCATAAAGATGCTCTATCAGAAAGGAAATAAAATTCCAAGCTACAAGTGTAGTTCCAGATCAGTGTAGTGTCCACAGTAATAGGTGATCGAGAGGTTATTTATTGTCTGTTTCTCCAGAAGGATGATGAGGTTGGTTAACTCCTCGATTTCCCTTCCATACAAAAGGACTCTGAAAGAAAAGCTTCCACTTTCCTCCTCCTTCATCTTATAGATTAGTCATAGCCATGTCTTTAGTGCACAAATTTGGGTTGTCTGAGAAAGAAAACTTTTAGAGGTTTACACACTGCCCAACAAGTAAACCAGAAACTAGTATTTTTCCATGCCCAATTTCTATGGTAAGCGAATTCAGACATCTTCTCTTACCCTTAACCACAAAATTCCAAGGGCAATTTCTTCTGATTTGGCTATCAGTTGAGGCAACCCATCAAAACTCATTCAAACCATATTTACTATAGAGCACCGCATACCATTAAGAATCTCTTTCAAGGGGGATCCTACAAACCTAGCTTTTAAAAAGAAAAGCCAAAATTCTTCCGATAAATACAACCAAAGTTTTACTGTGGATATTATAGATGGAAAGGAATAGAATAACTTTTGATAGTTGAGTAACCAGGAAAAAAAATCATATTCCATCGACTTCCGCTACTTTCCACAATTCCACTTACCACGAACACACTACGATGAATTCAATAACCATCGAATTCCAAACCAAATAATTAAAATGGATAGAACTATCGAAACACAACGTCATAAATTCCTAAATTCAACACGCTTAGTTTCCGTTATTTTAACACACTTCAAAAAAAAAAAAAAAAAAAAAAAAAAAAAAAAAAAAAAAAAAAAAAAAAAAAAAAAAAAAAAAAAAAAAAAAAAAAAAAAA